GGTTCCACAAAAATACTAGAAAACCTTTTTCACTGTAAGGGTTACAGAGCCCTGGCACAGGCTGCCCAGGGAGGTTGTGGAGTCTCCTTCTCTGGAGACATTCAAAACCCGCCTGGACACGTTCCTGTGTGACCTACTGTAGGTGATCCTGCTCTGGCAGGGGGGCTGGACTAGATGATCTTTTGAGGTCCCTTCCAACCCCTGACATCCTGTGATTCTTCTGAGAATTCGGATATAAGAGTGCAAAAGTGCAAAAAGCACCTTAAAGAACACAATACGTTGGACCATTTTACAGTAAAGATGAATGTATGCCTACCTCCCACAAAACCGACTCACCCACAGGGCCTAATCCCTTTGGGTAACCTTCCAGCTAAAGCAGATTGAAACCAGGGTCCCACCTACCTCCTCACCAATGCTCTGGGGAAACTGACACACGATGTGTAACCAGGGCCCTGCACAGGCAAAGCCAGACATGCAAAGTATAGAACTCGCCACGTTGAATAACAAGTGAAGACAGAAAAGAAATAAGGAAGGTAATGACACCAGTAGCCTGACTGAAGTGGAAAAACAACAGTCACTTTACACATGACCAGAAAGACAAAACAGTTGTCAAAAAAACCCAAAACCTAAATTGCTAGGCACTTGAGGGCACTGAAATACAAAGTCAGCTCTAAGTCCTAAATAACTGCTTTAAAAGCCTAGCTTTACTTTTGAAAATTGTTAGCCTTATCTTTGCTATAAGTAGGAAATAAAGCAAAGTTTACAGATCTCCTAAAGAAACACAGCAGTAAGTACATAATTTCTGTTCCATTTGTCACTGATCTCCAGGGTATTAAATTGGAGATTTTTCTTATTCATTCGAATAAAAATTTAGGCTTCAAAGATTCAGCAATAATTAGTTGTGTTCTTAATGAAGAGAGAAGTGACAGCAAAAAGCCTTTGCTGTCCTCACGTACAACAAAGCTGCAGTGTCCAAGCAAACACTTACCAATTGCTAGACCGTCACTAAAATTGTGTAGCCCGTCTCCCATAATCACCATCCATGCCAGAGTTGCTATCCCTGCATCCTTCAGTTCTTCACGTGAGTAGCGCTGACTGTGACTGTGGGGATGATGGTTCTGATGATGATGGTGATGCAGAATGTGATGGTAGTCATGGTGATGATGACTAAGATGATCTGTCTGTCCTAGAGTATCATGTAAGTGAGAATGACATTTGTTTCTACAGCCCCTGGACACATATTCATTGTCAACCTCCTCTTGATGTGAGTGAGCTATCATCACTTCTTCTTCTTCTTGGACAGTTGGCTGCTGAGACATGAAGGGCGATGGATCTTGAGAGTCTGTCCCTAGATAGCCCTCAGGCCCTGTTACAAAAACCCAGAGTATAATATTACATATTTTTAAAATCACACAGGAAGCAAAGATACAATAAACCATTTGAATAAGTGATGCTGTGAAGATGAAACTAAATCTGTAAGTTGAGACTGATACTCCAGCTCCTTGTACCGGAAGTTTGGGGTTTTTTTTATCCAAGGGTTTCCACAACTTATTTTTCTTCAATCAGATTTCTGAGATAATTCCCACTAGATCAAAATAAGAAAAACTTTCAGTTTCTGTCACCTGCTACTGAAGTAACCCCTACATTATGGCCACAAATGCCTCCTGAAAGGTAAAAAAGCTTCTGATCTTCGACTCAGTGCAATTTAAACACCACAGCATAAGGCTCTAGTGTCCCAGTTTCACAGCAGGAAAACTGTTCAATGGCTTCAGAAAGACAAAGTGTTTGGAAAGCATATGCCATTTATTCATCTTAGGGCTGAAGAATAAGAGCATTACACTACAGATAATTTTGGAAACTCCTGTATTTCATATAAATACAGGAGCTTAAGTCTAAACACCTGAAAAATAGACACTCAAAAATAAAGTCATCAAAACTGACCATGAAGCACCCTCATATAAACATCAGTAGCATACTGTTCATAATTATTCTGAAAAAACTAATACTTCTTTTAGCTACAAGAGCTAATGAGCATCTAGTAACATGTGGTTTTGGCTTACAGCGTGATCTTGGGAAGACTTGCATTCCAAACACTTAAAGTAACCTCAAGATTATCAACCTTATAAATAAGTACCCAAACTAACAAAATTTAGACTTCGGATGTACAGAATTCTAACAGTCTAACAAAGCACAGAAGCCTGTTGGCAGAGCTGCATTTGCAGCAGGCATAGCCAGAAGAACTTCACAGAGTGACTTCAGCTTCTGCTATTAAATCCAGGCTTAAGCTTTCAAAACTGTGAACACGCTGCTTCCAACCTATCGACCCTTTTTAAGGGAAAGCAGCCAATAGAGCTAGTCCTCTACATATCAACACACAGGTTTTGTTTTGAAAAATTCAGGCAGGTAGTGATCCAATCTACAGTAAGAAGCTGATTTACAAGCTGCCATCAATCAGATGGTTTTTTAAACAGTGCTGCCACAAAATAACAACTGTGCAATATTATTGAGACTTACGATCATCTGTATCTAACTTGTCTTCATTCGCTGAAAACTTCTTACTTTCTCCATCATCTTCATTTTTTTTCTTATTCCAAAAGAAAATACTGTAGTTATAAATATTTTACTTATTTTTCAGGATATACATGAGCAACATTATATTCACAACATTTATGCAGCCTGCACAGAAAGAGGACAACATGGAAGCCACATAAAGAGTGCAGAAGAGGAATCTTAAAAACTCAGCTAAGTAGACTAAGAAGATAGAGGTTCCTCAGGCTCCACAGGAGGAAAAAAGAAAAAAACCAAACCACAATCAAAAACAAACCTACATGCATAAATACCCCACATGATTGCACGAGGAATAAGTAAAGGGAGTTAATCCGAGAAGCGGAACACAACAAATACTGAGTAATCAAAGTTATTCCACTAATTATTTTCGATTGTAATGTCAGCATAATGTTTTTTTCCTAGTGTACTGAGGGAAAACCGAGTAACATCTCTAATAATTGCTCAATAATGTCTTTATCACAACAATTTATGATCAGTGACTCAGTATCTAGAAGAGTATAATTAGTCCAACAGAAAATTTATTTCCAGTGGCTGCGAGAAGGACAGAGAAAATACTTGCTTTGGTTGGAATTCATGTCCTCTCTTAACAAATACATTTAGAGACAGTGATCCTGTTGCATGGAGTTAGTTTAGCTTCAGTATAAACCACACCAATACAATCTCCCGTGACCAAAGTGAAAGAGCTTACACGGCATCTGCTCCGAAACCACTGCCTTAATGACTAATTTAACAATAGAACTAAACAAAGATTATCAGTCATTGCGGTAGCCTACAAATGAGCTATTTTTAAGATAAGTAATGAGTAGCTTACTAATTTTCTTCAAGCAAATCTTAAGATTATCACCAGCTTTTACCATATCATTTTACTGAGTCAACTTTTACATCACTGTGTATACCTGGCTATAATAGTCTTTGAAGAGCTCGGTTACCAACAATTGGCAAGTTTTCAACATTATGACCTGCCAAAACTCAGTTATTATTTACCTTCCACACAAAAACAGTGCAGAGGAATCTGAAAGTTGCCCTGCTCTTCCTTTTGCAAGGAAAGAAGAGAAAGAAACAAGGGACTTGACAGACTGTATTTCCAAATGGAATGCTATCTAACGAAGTCACTTTGTACAGTGTAGTTGGATGCTTAATTACATAAGCACTTACTGCTACCCTTGCCCATTTTGTGCAAATGCCTCTCTCAGAGGGAATATAGTAACTGCACATGCCCATCTTATTTTATTATAATTTAAATAATAATAATAATAATAATTCAGATAGTTATATAATCATCTTGAGCTGTCAGAAGGAAGTCAATAACGAACAGCAACTTCTTAAATTGCTCTTAAAGGATGCAATTGGAAGCTTGCTTATTAAACAATTCACTGTGGTGGTCAAACCTGCACTGTATGTCAGGTTAAGGAAACAGCTCGGAGCTCTTCCATTAACCAGACCACACAAAAAAGTTATCAAATAGTCTAAAAGTATAGATGTCACTAATCTAAATGGAATTACAATGCTAATCAAGTCAGCAATCACTATTAAATCCAGATATGTGACACTCCAAAGCTTTTTCTAAGTGTATTCAGATATGATCATGCAATACAATACAGCTTCAAAATAAGTAGTTTCTCTACCTTTTTCTTCTTGTCTTTAAACTGCTTTATTAGAGTGATCAAATGCTCCACCAGAAACATGAAATACAAGCCTCCAAGTGCTGTAAGTCCCTTCCAGGTAGAATCCAGGTAAGCACTCTCCTCTATACTTTGAAAAACAAGATGTTTGAACATAGCGCCTTTGTTTTGTTCAAGCAGAGGTTTTTCATGGTGATGGTGATGGTTTCCATGAGACTAAGGGGAGAACCAAATGGGGAAAGTCATTGTATTCAAAAGAACTGATAAACATAAGAAACATAGAAAGTATTCTTCACATTCTTCTCCTCCAGTCTGAAGTCCAGACTTGACAGTTTTCACAGGGTAAACACTCTGGATACAAACTGAAACAATTACAAATGAATCCGCTGATAGGAAGAAACACTGTAAGGACAGAGCAGGTCTGGCATTCACCCTCTCACTGAAGCTACATGCACACTGCTCAATACAAGACTGCCCCCACAAAAACTCCTGACATCGTCAAGGAAACTGTAATTTTAAGTAGTAGTCACAGCCAGCACACCAATTACATTCCCATCTAAGACAGCTCATAGATGTCAAACACCTTTTTTTTTTTTTTTTTTTTTTTTACAAAGAACTTCTCAGTAATTTCCTTCTTTAAAGGAAGTCTGACATTCTTCCCCTTCTCACTGCCTACTGATATAGTCAGAATCAAAAAACTTCTAGGACACCTCACTCGCACATGTTTAGGTTTATACAACCTCGCAAATGCAAAATTAACTGAAAAGAAAAAGAAGAACCTGAAGAATTACAGACAGGGCTCAGAAACCACCACAGGATATTATTCAGGCCTTTTAATCTTTATCTTATCTGAAATCTGAAGCAAGTTACCTCAGGAGGCGGGGAGGAGGACAGGGAGAATGCCTGCTTAAAAGCTTCAAGAAAAGTAGGAATTTGGCAATCACATTCCAATTTCATTGTTCGTATTGCATAACAGCAATAGATAACTCCAAAGACTATCAAGTAATGTTTTTTCCAAGACTTCAGAAATGCTGGATTCCCATAAAAAATTACAAAAGATAAGCATTCAAAACAAGTGGCTGATAACAGACCACAGTAGATGATCTACTCCACATTTGAAGTGTACAGTAAGGGATTTCCACCATTTATGAAGTTCATTAAACTGGATAAAGAAGACAGAAGGACTGGAGTAAGTGACTAAAAACACTTGTGCAAAATTCTTGTGTGCAAGGAACAATGAATGATTTGGCAGCATATATGACTAAAAATGGGAATTAGATTGAAAGATAATGGTGTGAAGTTATTATACTGTAAGGACTGTGAAATGAATAATACAAGCTGTTCCAAAGAGGAAACCTTTCCATCAAATAACCTACCTTAAAAGGTTGAGAAATGACTCATCAAATAGGTATTAATTAGTAAAAATCACAATTATCTTAAAGAGGTATGGACAGGTTTCAAATTCTCTGCTTTAAGGCAACAGAAAGTAATTAATACTTACATGTGGAAGGAGATGTAAGAAAGCATCTCCACTCAAAGTTCCCACAGCCAATGCCACAAGAAAACTTAGAAGAAATTTGAAAAATACACGATTCATCAGTGGTACCAATATAACACCCAATAAGGAAAGAAAACTGATGACGGAGATGGATATAAAGCCACCAATCCAAGCTGGTAAGAAAAAGAAAAAAAGTAAGAATAAATAACAGCTACATGAGATTGTTTGCTTAACATTCCTATTATCAAACACTCCTGATCATTCGATTACTTGGATGTTAAAAAATGGCACATAACAAAGATTTCTCTCTAGACATAGTCTATTGCCAAATGAAAATTACAAAATTGCTTCAATTTTGAAATACAATTCTCAAATTTATAGCCAATATAAATGGCTTTCCAGTAGCTTTTATTCCATGTTAAAAAACCCCAACCTACCGATTTGCAGAGAGTAACTTTTTGGAGGAGTTTCAGCTTTTTCACTGGTTGCATGGACTATGCAGTACTTCCCATCAATCTGATTAATAAGAGCTGGACAGAGGTAGCTAAATTCTGTAGCAGTCAACAACACCTGAGTGCCTATTCCATGGGACTGCATCAGTTTCGACGCACTGGAGCACTATGGAAAGACACATATGTTAAAGATTAACCAGAACCAAAACACCATGATATATCTCAAGAAGACTGCACATCCTATTTTAATTGAAATGCAGTGGCATCACATGAAAACAGCTGTATCAACAGTAATTAAAGGCTAGTAGGAACCATACCTCCACCTCTCTTCTGGCCCAGAGAGGTAGTTTGGGAGTCCTAGCAGATGATGTGCAATTATCACTCTTTATCAGCACAAAGGGGCCAGATGCTTTGCTGTGCAAAAAGAACCTAACACCTCTTGTTCAGTTTTAGAGATCGTATAAGGAAGTAGTAATGAGGGTTCTATTCCACAGTAATTGCTTCCATAAAACGTTAAATCTTGTATAGAATGTGTTTTGCATACGCTTCTGCCAGTAAAGAGTTCCCCACTCCACAACCTACAGACTCGCTGGGTGCAAGTAACAGTCGTACTCCTGCTCCGACTGTGCACAACACAGAAATAACTTGTGAATTCAGCACCTAGGATCATAGGCTACACAACATCCACTCTGAATTACCTGGCATGGCTGTGTAAATTAAGACCCCCAGAGACATGTGCTTTTTAAAGCCTCTGATGGAGAAGGATCTGATGTTGGAAGACTGTGTACAACACAACTACAGACCTTATCAGCACTAACTTTTACTATTTTAAAGTAATAGATAAAATTTTGCAGCAATCTTTTACAGTTGGTCTCTACATACAATCTTAAAGAAGACAGGGAATGAGGGTGTTAAAGGAAAAAAGGTGACAGTTAATTTGCTGCAGTTCTACACTATCTGCCATAGGATTATCTTACACTTGTGAGGCAACTTTGACAAGAATGGCAGTGTTTTAACTAGATTTTTAATTTTTTTTACTTTCACCATTTTATTAGGAAATCAAGACAGATTCTAGCTTTAAGGCAGAACAGCAAGTTTTAAATTTTAAGTGGTTTATATTTTTAGTAATATTTAAATATATACCTATACAAAACCAAATGTATGTCTACATTTACGTAAATATTTCTTTTTAGGAAATAAGAAAATGAAAAATACCTAGATTGCATATATATTTTCCTCTGAGCTTGTGAGCATAAGACAGCCTTCCTTCAAAATGTTAGCTTCCCTTGAAAAGTTGTTTGTATGTGTTTTGCTATGAGTACTGCTACAGCACAAAGCTTGTACCCAGGTAAAGGACGAGCACCTGACAAATAAGCTGTAACAACACTCCTAGTGGATCTGAAGCCCCAAGAATACAACAGAATCAGTCTCACCTCTTGGGTGTTTTGGTTTTTCAGTTTAGAATACAGGTAACTTCCTCTTTCTAATTCCTTTGGAGAAGTATGAGACTCATTTGCTTTGCTGTTAGCAAGCCAGCTTGCATTGCTGCCACCTGTGGCATTAACAGCATTAGAGTTGGTCAGACCTAAACGAGCAACCAGCTTGACTTCTCCGGGCTGCACATTCTGTAATTCAGAGCGGCCATCTGTGGGAACAGTGATGACAGATGCTGTTATTTCATTAACAGTGTTCTTGCTGCGTACAAAGTTCTGCTGATGTTCTACGTTCTCTCCTTTGTGAGGTTCCTTTGAATGACTGTTCCTGTGGTCTTTGTTGGCATCAGATTCATGGTTTGGACAAACAGTCTTCTCGGTGTTTTTACTCAACAAAACGTGATTATGATGAAGGTGATGATCGTGGTCATGATCATGGTCTACTTTAATCCTTTTCATTTTGTCTATACCTATGTTCTGGAGCAGTTTTCTAAACCCTTCAATCGACAGAGAGTTGTTTTCTCCATAACGATGAAAAAGTTCTTGAAGGTGAAACTTCTGTATTAATCCTGCCAAGTCAATATTAACACCAGCTGCCTTTTCTGGAAAAGTTCTCTCCGATGCATAACTTTCACACAGTAGTATGGAAAACGATACAAGGAAAGTGACTGCTACTGTACTCTCCATTGCAGTTTTTTTAACAGCAGCAAATTTTAACAGCTTGCGTAAAACTGATCACATCTTCCTCTGTAATAGAAGTTCACAATTTGCTTAAACGAAAGAAACCCACAACAAATAAAATCAACATCCCCCCCGCCCAAAGGATCAATGCAGTATGAGAGGAACCATTAAAATTTCTGACACATTCAGCATTTTTCCCAGATGCAGAGCCTCAGGCACCAGCTACATGCCACAGCTAGGTCGCTGGTCCTAAACACCCCCCAGGTATAAGCTTACCTTTGTTTTTAGCTTGGCCTGAATCAGTTTTCAAACACAAGCTAAACGATGAGAGCATCCTCAAGGGTGCAGAGTTCTAGCTTAGGCTTTTCTTGCGCTTAAAAGCAATAAGCAATAAATTGCTTATTCCTTAAAGGAATAAGCAATATAAATTATTTGTTCCAGCTCAAAAATATCCACATTCCCAACGTTTCATCGCTGGACTTCCCCGAGCTCCCGGCAAGCCAGCAGGGTGGCTTCACGGAGCACTCCACAGACACAAAATACCTGTTAGGCCGTCCCGTCCCCCCTGTGGGTGTTTTCGCACTGCTATCGCGCCGCTCCTCACCGGGCA